ATCCACCAACATCACCACCCACCATCCACAACCACCACTCACCACCCATCATTTACCACCCACCACCCACCTTCTACCCATAACCACCATCCAACACCACCACCACTCACCACCTATCATTTACCACCCGCCTCTACCCGTAACCACCACCCACCAACACTACCACCCACCACCACCACTCACCACCCATCGCTTACCACCCACCACCCCCCGCTTACCACCCACCACCCACAACAATCCTCCACCCCTAACCACCATCCACCAACACCACTGCCCACCATCTACCACCACCACTCACCTCCTATCATTTATCACCCACCACCCACCTTCTACCCATAACCACCATCCACCAACACCACCACCCACCACCACCACTCACCTCCTATCATTTACCACCCACCACCCAACTTCTACCCGTAACCACCACCCACCAATATCACCACCCACAACTACCACCCACCACCTACCATTTACCACCCACCACCCACCTTCTACCTCTAACCACCATCCACCAATACCACCACCCACCACCCACCACCACCACTCACCACCTATCATTTACCACCCACCACCACCTTCTACCCGTTAACCACCATCCACCACCACTACCACCCACCACCCACCACCACCACCACTCACCACCTATCATTTACTACCCACCACCCACCTTCTACCGATAACCACCATCCACCAACACCACCATCCACCACCCACCACCACCACCTTTTACCACCCACCACCCACCTTCTACCCGTAACCACCATCCACCAACACTACCACCCACAACCCACCACCACCACTCACCACCTATCATTTACCACACACCACCACCTTCTGCCCGTAACCACCATCCACCAACACTACCACCCACCACCACCACCACTCACCACCCATCATTTACCACCCACCACCCACCTTCTACCCATAACCACCATCCAACAACACTACCACCCACCACCCACCACCACCATTCACCACCCATCGCTTACCACCCACCACCCACAACAATCCTCTACCCCTAACCACCATCCACCAACACCACTACCCACCATCTACCACCACCACTCACCACCCATCATTTACCACCCACCACCCACCTTCTACCCATAACCACCATCCACCAACACTACCACCCACCACCCACCACCACCACCTATCATTTACCACTCACCACCCACCTTCTACCCGTAACCACCACCCACCACCACCACCCACCATCCACCACCACCACCCACCATCCACCACCACCACTCACCACCTATCATTTACCACCCACCACCCGCCTTCTACCCATAACCACCATCCACCAAAACTACCACC